CCCTTCCATGAATTGTGATCTGCCATTTGAAAATCAATGCTCTAGCTTATTCTGCTAAATCCTCTGAGTTTTCTGGTCTGTTAATTACTCAGCAGAAAAGCCTGTAAGATTATTTCAACTAAAGCTCTTCCAAAAACTTCTGTCAGAATCTACTTTTATTTATTGAAAGAACTGAGCCTTTTTTCTTCCTAACATGCAAAACACATTTGAAATATTAGACACAGTTTTTAAATGGTTATAGGAAGTTTCAGTAAGATAATTAACAAGTATCTGTTGATTGCCTGTGCTTTGCAATAGATAACCTAAAAGCAGTATTTATTTGTGTGCATGTGTATACACATGCACACAAGCACACACACGCTAATAACATCCTTAATTTCACAACTATAGAAATTAAAATCCCAAAAGGTGGTAGCTTTTGTGACTGGAGTTGATTAGGCATGTACCCTAAACCAAAAAACTATGTGTTGGACACCCCCAGCCCACCCCCTGTCCTACCTCTAGGATTAGCAAGTTCAGTGGGCCTTGGATCTCCTGCTTGTCCTACTGCTGAGGACTGGGAACATTTTTGTGCATATCTAGGAGGGACCGTATAAGTCCCTCCCTACCATCACAAAGTGCCACAAAATCAGTTGATAATAATTGCAGGCACCAGGGCTGCGAACTAATTCTCTGATTTTTCAGACATTCCTACTCACAGGTCAACCCCTGTATTCAAAGCAAATAACTGAATCATCAGTGTTCACCATAAAAACTATTTGACCACATTGGACTTTGCAGACATTTCGGAGGATGCGGCAGTTGTTAAGATTTTCCCTTCCGCAGATGAAAAATCTGCAACTCGGAGAGAAGAATCTGCCCCATCTGCTTGCACCTAGTGATCTTTTACCTTGCAAGGCTGTGGCAGGAGGAGCTGGCAGTGAGTGTCTGGGCCCCTCAGGTCTCTTTCCCAATGCTAAAATTTTCTAAGGGAGGGGTGGGCAACCTCTGTCCTGGGTCAGCTACCCTCTTCCTATCCTAAGCAAACCTGGGAGCTGAAAATGCCACTTTCACAGAGGTCAGGGTGGTTCATGGCCCCATGGGTGACAGTCCCTGCCTCACACAACCACCAGGCTGCTCTGATTTTCCCATAGAATCTTCTGTCCTGTCTTTCTACAGCCTCTGAGTTGAAATGGTGTTCCCCATACCCTGGGAAAGGTCACCATGTCTTGGCCTCCTGAGAATAAGAATATCTGTTCTCCCTAATGCCTAATGTGGCAGCACAAAAGATCCAGTATTTAGTCTTTTATTATTTTTTCAGTCTTACCTCTCCAGCTTCCTGAATCCCTTCCCCACTCTCAAAATGGGAGAAGATGATCCCTATAATCAGACTTTCTCACTTCCTCAAGGCATAGCTTCTGGCTTGGTCTTGCCAAAGACCTAGGGCTTCTCTAGTTAATATCCTTGAATGCCTGCTGCTCCTAAAATGCCTCCTCTTGCCTCAAGACCAGGTTCCTTGGCAAACACTGTCACCATCCAAGGAATTTAGCCAGGCACCTAGGGCCTTTCCTTTGCTTTCTCTAAATGGGCCTGGTTTTTTTCTTCTTTCTCCAACATTTACAAAAATGCTTTCAGTGTCTTCTCTCAGCACTCAGCACTCCTCGGTGGCCCCATGCACTCTCTCTGTGGTCACAGCAGGTAGGCCAGCAGGCTCTCTGTAGGTATCTGCCATGTTCCACACCAGGCTGGGGAAGAATAAATAAGCCCTGGTTCCCACCTTTGAGGAGATGATAGCCCTGAAGGAGGCAATAGAGCTGATCTAGAGGTCTGTTCTCTGACTCCTAATCCCAGCTTCCCACCAGGGCCCGTCAAATGCACTGGACAAAGCAGAGGTCAGTCTTATTCCACTGCCCACAGGGCATGTTCTTTCTAAGATGCAAAAAAAGAAACTCTAAACTTCTCAGCAATGGATGTCCTTATTGCTGAGGGTGGGAGAAGAGAGTAAGCCCCCCGACACACAGGGCCTCTCAAAGACAGAGCCCAGTCCCACAAGCAGCCCACAAGCAGCCCTGCTCAGGACGGGAGGGAGCAGCTACTGAGACTGTGGGAGAGTGGTGGCTGCAGCAGGGGTGGCCTTGTGGGTGTTGCTATTTGTGTCTCAGTTCAGTGTCAGATTGCCTGTTCCTAGCTATTTTCCACTGGTAGGAAAGGCCAAATCTGAGAGTCCTTTCAGTTTCCAACACCCAGCTACTGCCTCTGGGAAGAATGTTTGTTTTTCCTTTTTGGTGGGATTTGGAAGCTGTCATCAAGAAGTGGGGGAAGTGTGACCCTAGGCCTTTCCCTCTCTGGGTTCAATTTCCTCCTCTCTTAGACGATGGAGAGGGAACCAGTAAATATGGTAAGCGTTAGCCTCCTATCCCGTGGAGTGCTGGCCACTGTCCTACTAAGGACTTTGCACTAAGCACTTGGTATCACCTCACTTACCCTCACAGCAGCAACCGGGGCCACCCAGGAGGCTCCTGTGCTTGCTTCAGACTCTGCTTGCCACCTAAGTGTCTGCTGATCCTCACAGCCCTGGCAGGTAGACAGATGGCCTCTCCAACTTTCAAACAGAGAAATAAAAGACTTGAAGTAAGATCATAACCAAATGATGTGGGGTTAAAGAGGGGTATCTAGGAAGAGCACCCAGTTCTTTACATCCTGCTGGTCTCTCCTGACAAAAGATGACCCGCCCTTTTCACAAAGTAGAAGTTCCCCAGGGAAGAAGGGAACTTCCATTTTCAAGGAGGGTCTGCTCTGACTGTTGTCTCACCTTCGTAGTCAGAAAGTGCCTGGGGTCTCCACATTCACACCAGGCTCCTTGCCCTTCAGTTTCCCCACCACCATGCAGTGACCCCCACCTCTGTCCAGTCTGCTCTTTAGGCCCCTCCTCTGTGACGCCTTCCCTAGTCATGTGTCTCTCTCCTGTCTGTGCCACCTGCTCACAGGACACGCAGCCATGGGCAAGTAGCATCTGTTGCCTTTTCCATTAACTACCAATGGCAGGTTCCCGTCTATGTGCCACGGGGGATAGGACCAGCTCTGGTGGTCCCTTCAGCCCCTCCCTCACCTATAGTGACATCAGTTTTGTCTAGACCCAATTCTGGTTCTTTGGGTCAAGGATTCATCTCTGTTACCTTTAACCACTGCCTGGAAGCTGAGCCCAGCATCCAGCACCGGGACAAGAGCCAAGCTGAGCCTCAGTTAATGTTTGTTGAATGACTGGATGGGCTTTTTGTAGCCTCAGAGAGGTAAACGAAAGCCAGGCAAAGCAATGGGAATAATTGTTATACTTAAAGACATACTTGTTAGTTTCAGGCCAGGTCTCAGCTCTGATTTTTTTTCTCTCTCCCCCCACCCCCTCTCTTCTTCTCTCCTCTGGAAGCTGAAGCAAGATGTAGAACTGTAATGGGACTTAAGGGCTGTGAAGCTCCTTGCACATTTCCTAGTTCCCCAAAGTCTATTTTACCTCCTTTACCAAGGCGCACTGATACTTGTCAATAAGGAGGAAGTGCCGGTGTGGCCTCCTTGGTGACCCTTCCTAGTCTCCTTTCCAGGTGTTTACCCAATCATGGAAGTGAGAGTGACTGGGGAAAACATAGAGGCTTGGACAACCAGTGGGGGAGGCTGTCAGACCCCAGAGCTAGGGCCCTGGTCTGAAGCATTAACACAGGTAAATGGTTAACCAAAGGGAGGATTTTTCTCAGTGCCTCCTTCTCTGCCAGAGAACTCACCTTTAATCATTGGCCCTTCTGTGAGGTGTGAACAAGAGGATTGCAGGCATGGATGGTTAAATGCCCACCTTTTCCTTCTGCCCTCACCTTTTCAGAAGGTAGTGGGTCTCATACAGACCAGCCCCCAGGTATCATGGCTGGAAGGAGGGGCAGACACACACGGACACAGAAAGCAAAGTTGAAAATGACTCCTGACCTCTCAGAAAGTGGCGCCTTGGCTCTGAGACTCAAGAATGAGAGCAAGAAGGCCAAGCCACACAGCAGCCTGATTGCATTTAACAGAGGACATTTTAGAGTGCCCACACCAGAAACCACTGCCCTACCTCTGACTTTTGGAGATTTCTGCTCTCTTTCCTGTCCCTAAGGACCTGCAGGCCCACTGCCTAAGACATTTTTAAGTTTGCTAACAGAATATCCCCGTGCCAGGCTGCCTAGACCTCCCGGGTTGCCCTCACATACGTCTTATGTAGTGTAACTCCATGCTTGCAGTTCCATCCCTCTGGGTATTTAATGGAGTTTGGGGAGAATCACCATCCGGTTGCTTCATTTGTTCAGGCTGATTTTTTCCATTTTGTGCCCCCTGTGCTCATTTTATTGGTACCATCCACTCATCTCCAGACCCGGCTGGCCAGGACTAGCATGCCATCTCCACTTTGATGTGTATTCCTGCTTGGTGCAGTCCTTAGGGCCGGTTGGGGAAGTAGAGGCCAAGCCTTCCAGGGGTCCCGCCTCCATTTAGCAGGGGTTGGTCCTTGGAAAGCTTGGCGCATCTTTGGTTTCATACTTTATTCATCCCCAAGCCACTGAGAGCTAAATATGAGCATATCGTTAATGTACTCGAGCACATCTCCATGATCCTTCCCCTAAGCAGCCTAGCCACTCTGCTAAACAGCTTTGAACTTCAGACCTGATTCTTAAATCCATGGAATCCAAGAGGGGGAAGAGAACCTGAGGGGCCACCTGAGAAGCCAGCTTTGCCTCCACCTCCTTCCCTACTCCAGACCTGTGCCGCAGGCCCGGATGTAGAAACTTGGTTGACTGGACTTGGGAGGAGGAAGAAGGGAAGGGTGACAACAGTTCAGGCTACTGAGAAATCTGTAAAGCCCAGATACGCCGCCTCGGAACAGACCGTGACCACCACCTGCAAAGCTCTCAGTGGTCAAACCTGATTTTGATATCTACTCAACCTGTGCTCTTAAAAGTCCATTGTGTGATCCTCTTTAAAGAAATATTTTATTTTCAATACAGACACAGCCCTTGAAGTAGCAGTAAAAAACATCACCCCTGAGAGACACGTGGCTGTGAAGTGTTTGGGTATGTAACCTGCCTTTGCCCACACGGAGGGCTTTGTCCTGCTGCTCTCTGTGTCCTCAAGTGGGTGCCCTCTTACCCGCTGTGGGCTTCTGGAGACACTGGAGTGAAGGCAAGAGGTCACCTCAGACAGGAGGTACCTTCTCCAAGGGACTGCTGTGGGATAGGGAGTAGTTGCCATCCTTCACCCAACAAGAGTTTCTTTGAGAATGCCACTCCCTGCCCCCCACTCTGAAGATGGAAGTCAAATTTTCGGACTCTGCTGTGCAGAGCAGAGAGGTCACTAGGCTCTAATGCATTTACCATTGACTGCCCCTCTTGTAGTGCGTCTATTAGTGAGTAATTTGATTTGTACCTATTCATTTGCAGTCCCTGCAGGAGCCTGGAGCTGGCCCCTGGTATAATTGGTGCTGTCTCTATTTTTACATCATTAGATTAGCCCCGACTCCTGGCCACTTGTTGTCTGCGCTTGTCTGTCCATTTATACAACCTAATGTAACACAAAATTCATTACTGATCACATTACTTTCAACTCTGAAGCCAGCCTCGTGATAAACATTTGGTTAACCCCTTCCTACCCACAGGAGGGCTGACAGAACAAATGCACTTCTACTCGACAGGCAAATCGATATCTTAATACACCAAAGTGGAATTGCATTTCTAGATTTGTTATTCCTCCTGGAGGAGCAAATGGAAAGGCTCATCTGAGCTAGCTGAATTGAATAATGAATAGCGCCCGGCACCAGCAGCCAGTCTGTGGAAGCAGCACAAAGGCACACCCGGCACCGGCCCAGCCTCTCTCATCTAGGCAGGCGGCAGGGCAGCAGCTCACTCGGATCCCGGTTCTCTCCCCACGGCCACCTGTGGGCTTGACAGCACAGGTTGGGACCCTCTGGGGGTCAGACACCTTGCCTGACTCCATTCCTTTTGCTAGGTTTGGCCTAGGACAACTGGACCAAGAAGTGGGTTGGTTTCCTTAAAATCTTATTCACTAATGTAAAGGCTCCCAGACGCGTGGCAGTGACACTAGGTGCCACCAGTTAAATCCATTGCTAAGCCTTCATATTTGAAAACAGTTATAAAAACTGTTCGTGTTTAGAGCCAGGTCAGTGAAACCAGGATCGTTTGGTTCTCATGAGCCTCTGTGTGTGTGCGCGTACACATTCATGTGTATGTGTGCGCTCTCTCCCTGGGTAAGGATTCCTTGGCATATGAATGCCATGTGTGCCTCTATGTAGTTCCTGTCCTCTGGTAGGAGTGTTTGTGAGCAGCAAGTAGCTGGCCAGGAGTCTTAAAGAGACCTCAGCACGGCTCTATTGAATCTTGACTATTTTGTCCTACCCCCCCTTGTTCAGCCCACACCCACAATAAGTCATTAACTCACAAGATAGTATGTTTCAAAAGAAAAAATGCCCCCCACTTATTAAGAAACACTCATAAAGCCTATACCACAGTGATTAGAAAAATAGGCATAGAGGAAATAGAATGGAACCCATTACCATGAAAGTCATAAATCCCTAAGTAAAAAGAAAGCATAAACTGGAGACACTCGGGTGGGTAGGGAAGCTGGGAAAAGCAGCCCATCCCGGGAACATTCTGCTTGACCTTGTGGAAGTCCTGAGCAGGAGGCTGAGGAGAGGCGCCGGGGAGGTACCGAAGCTGAGGTTAGTGGTTAGTGAGTGTCCTTCCAAATGACAGGACACCCTCCCTCTCAGAGAGAACTGAATCTTGGACCCTGCTGTCCCTTCACCTGTTCAGAGCCCTCACAGGCCAGAAATGACAAGCACTCCTGTGAGACATGAAGTCCTGGGGAGTCCTTGAGAGGGCTCTGAAGCCACTCTTGTCCTTGTCTGTAGATGGTTCTTCCTCCCTGTGTGGGGGGTGGGGAGTAAGAAGTTTGGCAGAATTACCTCACTCTGCCCTGGGCAGTAGGGTCAGGCCAGGGCACGGGCAGCTCCTTGTCCCAAAGTCTCCAGAATCATAGCTCTCAAGCACTTCCCGTTGTGAGAAGCTGTGAAGAAGGGCATCCCTGTGGTGGGGTACTATAAGACCCCCATTATCTCAGCAGTAGAAGGAATCTGGTGTCACTGAGGTGAGCCCTGGCACAGTGGCTATCTCCTCAAGGTTGGGGGAGACCCTTTCAGGAAGAGTGGGGTCAGGACCCTCCCCCAGCCAACCACCCCTTAGAGTGCTGACTCTGCTCAGCTTTGGCCTCCACTGGTAACCCTCTCAGGTGGGTGAGTGGAGCAGGGTGGGGGCCTCTGCCTGCCCCACGCTGGCCCCGGCCCCATGAACTCTAGAAAACAGATAAGAGCCCAGAACAGGACAAACCAGTGGCAGGGAAGACAGCGAGTCTGCCTGCAGAATGAGGGGGCTGTGATTTCTTAACCTCGTTGGAAAAGGGGGAAAGCCACATCTTACCAAGCTCTTCCGCTGCGTCGTAGAGAATTTAATTACGTTTGGACATTTGAATGAGAACCAGATGTGGCTCTGGCCCCGCCGGCCAGCAATGTTCAAAGCACAGTGTCTCTCCTGTGGCCTGCAGGCCCTGTGCTATCTCACAAGGCTGCAGGCTAGCTCAGGAGGTCCCCTGCCTGGGAGCTGGGGTGGGGGTTTCCAAGCTTCGTGGCTGGACTTCAGGGGACCTGCAGGTCAAAGCCAGTTGCCAGGCACCTGGTTCCCAGGGAGATTTTCCAAGCTCTGTTTCCTCTTCTGAACCACAGGCCGTGGGCATGAGTGCCGTGTCTGAGACTCCTCCCGGCCCCTCATTAGAACCCAGCACAAAGAAGTCAAGTCAAAGCCCCCAGCTGGACACTCGCCAAGCCCATAGGCATGTCGGCTGTGCTGCTCAGCTCTCGGTCAGCCTGAAAAGGCCGAGGCTCTGTCCTCAATATTGTGTTAAGGACCTGGAGCTAGGAAAGAAGGTCAGCTCTCCCAGATGAGCTGTGCGGCTGCAGGGGCCCCTACTGCTGGAGAATCTCCCATCCAGTGTCTCTACACGCACTGTGCCTCTTGGCGCCCCATCACACTCTCTTCTCATTAGAGGTTTACACACCCAGTGAGGTCCCCAGAGCACATCCTCCCCGTCAACAGATGCCGAAGCAGATGAGAAGCAAAGTGATTTGCCCAGGTCATTCAGCACGTCTGTGACAGCACGGGGCCAGAGCAATGTCTCAGCCTCCTCCGCAGCCCTTGTCCTCCTGACCATCCACAGGGAGCTCTGTCAGGGCTTCTCCTGCATCTCATTGACTTGAGGCCTGGCTTCAGCCAGTCATCAGACCCCTCAGGCCTGCAGGTGTGAGCTGGGTCAGCTTAGCTGTTTTTGTCCCCACATACAGTATGCTGTGACAGGATCTACTCTGCCTTGGCCAGGACTTAAGAGTTCTAATATGACGGACTCTGAGAGGGTCACAGGGCATAAGGTACCAACCAAGGTGGTCTGGACAGGTGATCTTTCTGCCATCTCCTTTGAAGCTGAGACTTGGGGAGGCTTGGATGGTGTGAGTTTCCTGGGAGTGGAGCGTGACTGATTCAATTCTTTCCCTGCCTAGGATTGAGGTGGCAGTCTGGATGTTGTTGGGAGGGGACCTAGGAAAAGGAGCCAGACCCTAACCTGGCCAGTGCTTCAAAGGCTGTGAAGGAGAGTCCAGGGCTCTGCCTGGAACTCTGTGCCCTGCATATGTATGTATGCATGCGTACACACACACACACACACACACACACACACACACACACAAACAGTGGCAGCTCCAGCAGAGAGGGGATAGGGGTCATAAGGGACAGGCCTGGTGAATATGGGGCAGGACTCAGAGTGGCCTCCCTCCTGATCTCCTGAGTCCTCATTCTTCAGCCTCCCTCCCTCCCACTCTCTTTGCTACTTTTATTGCCCCATATTCCAACATCTTCTGTCATAGTGCCCCCTTCCCTGTCCCTACTGGGCCCACAAGGGATTTGAAGATCTAAGCTACTTCCCACTGTCTAATGGCCTGCTGTAGTGAACAGGGTTCCTAGGAGCCTGAGAACCTTTCCTCTTTGGCTGTCAGAGGGCAGAGGGGATGTGGAAGAAGGAGTCGTGCATTTTGCCCAGTTTCTCTGGGTGGAAACTAAGGAACAGAGAGGCCTTGGCTTGCCCATCTCACAGTCTGCTTCATCATCATCCTTTCCTAGTGTTGATCACCACTTTTACCTTCTAGGGTCAGGGATACCCAGAAGCATCTGAAGTCTTCTAGGCCTTTAGGTCTCCCCTTGTGGCCAAGAGAAGCAGTTCCCAGATTCCTCAGCTGAAAGCAGCCAAGATTTACAATCACTGTTGGCAGCTGATCGTGGAGGCAGGGGTGGCAGGAGAGGCTGTGGAGTCTTGACTTCATTCCGTCACGATGTTCTGGCCATAGTACCTGAAGGAGTCATGAACAAAAGCTGGGCAAGGAGAAAGAGTATACTTGGCAGGCCCCATGGGTTGAAAGAGACTCCAGCCAGGAAGGACCCAAGCTGCAGCCCTTAGGCAGGTGTCGCAAGCACTCAGGAGTGCTAGGCTGTGTGTGGTGAGACACCGGAAGTCTGTGGCATCAGTTGGCCAGGGGTCTGAACTCAGACCCTGGGTGGTAAGCCCAAGAGAGTGCAGGCCAGAGCCAGGCCTGCTTCTCATCTGCTTCCTGGTTCCAGCAGCACAAAGCAGGATTCCTGTGATCAGAATAGGAGGAGCCTTTTCATCCTCACATCAGCTTCCAGAAGCTGCCCCCTTCCCATGCCTGGCAAGGGAACAAAAGCCCCTCCCTGCTGGAGGAGAAAGATGACTCCTGTCTCAGACCTCTCTAGCCTCAGCCCCAGCCTCCCAAGACCTCCTGGGAGTGGACAAAGAGAACCCCTAGTCTGTTGGCATCGCTGTAAGTTCTGAAGCCTGAGTTAGATTACTGAGGGGGAAGCCTGGAGAGGGCATGAGGAGGGAAGGCGTAGGAGAGCCAGGTGGCTCAGAGGTGGGTATGCAGAGTTCCAGAAAAGTGAGGCCTCCCTGTAGGCTGCCTCCTTTAACTGTTGCCTAAAAAGTGCCTTGGGGGCTGAGGCTGGCTCCTGCCTGAGTGTGGTCTCTGACAGTGGGGCAGTCTAAGCCTGCTCCATCCGGGTCTCTCTGAACAGGCCCCCACTTCCTCAGCCATTCTCCAAGAGACAGTAGCAGTTTCTAGACCCTGGACTGGTATAAGACAAGCAGCCCCTAGCCATGTCTTCCAGGGTCACCTTTTCTAGCTAGTGTCTGGGCCAGCTCTCCAGGTTCTAGCCCCAGGAAGCTTCTGACCCTGCTTAGCCCCCACAAGATGTACTCATGCCTCCCCATCCCCTAGCCCTTCTCTCTCCAAGTGCCATTTTGCATAGCTGGTTCCAGGGCCTGTAAGCAGGCCTCTTGCTGACAAAATTGCTTGCTTAGGACAGACCCCATTTGAACCAATTTGCAGGACTTATTGACAGTCCTGTGGTCCCCTGGTGTCTTTACCATATACCAAGGGAAGATGCTGAAAATTCTAACTCCTTTTTTTTTAATATTTATTTTTTAGTTGTAGTTGAACACAACACCTTTATGTTATTTATTTATTTTTATGTGGTGCTAAGGATCGAACCCAGGGCCTCACATGTGCTAGATGAGCACTCCACTGCTGAGCTACAACCCCAGCCCTAAAAATTCTACCTTTTTAAGGAGAGGACTACACATACAGACACACCTGACTCCCTACCCAAAACCCTCAAGCAGAAGGGTTGTTTTGTCTGTTGCATTCCTCTGAGCCAGGCAGTGGGCAAGACAGAGCAGTGTGGCTGGCCACTCTGTTTTTCTTTTCAAAAGGGAAAAAAAAAAAACAATGCCAACAGCCCAGCGTCCCAGGCAAGGGTCTCAGCCACAGCCCCTGCTAATGTGGGAGAACTGGGAGGTAGATGCAGGAGAGAAAAATCAATGCATGTCAACAGGGCTGGAAATTTATTTTCCATCTTGGAAGAGGGTGTTAGCAAAGAGGAAGGAGGGAAATGAAAAGCTGTAAACACATATCTGCCATCTACCTCCCTAGGCTATTTCTAGATTAAAAAGAATCTGCCCCAGGCTCCAGTGGGGGGCTGAGGTGGTAGGGGCCTGGGTGGCAGAGACACCTGCTGGGGAAGGAGACAGGGGAGGGACCTTGAAGTCCTGTGGATAATCGCAATGACTAATTCGATTGCAACAATAATAGTAACTCACATTTGCTGACTGGAATCTTTAAGCACTTTGTGATGCGCTCTACATGCATTATTTAATTTCATTCTTACAACCAGGCTATGAAGCAGACATTGTTAGCCTCACATTCAGGAACCTTGAGGCACAGAGACTTGAGTAATTTGCCCAGTCTCCCAGAAGCAGATGGCGGGAGCCTGCACTCTCAGTCTCTTCCCTAGACTGTTTCCACTAACCTGTGCAGAACCTTCCACTAACCTCCGCCCACCTTCTCAGCCTGGTGGAGGCTGTGGGTGGGGAGTGGAGGGGGGGGGGCAAGCCTCCCCCACCCCAGCATAGCCGGAAGTGGGCGTGGCTGTGGGACAGGCAGACTCCTCTCACAAGATCTAATCCCACTCTCACCAGGCAGCGTGGGTGGTTAGTTTAGGACTGGGGTGTGCGGCTGCAGCCAGGGCCCAATAAAAGTGCTCTGCTAATCCCTTTAATGAGCAGCATCTTGACGCTCACAGAGCAAGGCTGGCTGGAGCCTTGGAGGAAACTGGAGGGGTCAGGCAGTAGGCGCTGCTCCTTTTGTGGTGGCGGAAGTGCCAGGGCTGCCCCGAGGCTGAGCCTGAGCCCGCGCCCAGGCACCCTCTTCCCAAACACGCACAGCACTGTTCTCCCTGACCCCCAGAAACAGACTTCGTTCTAAATCCCCTAGAGAGATTCTCCACGGTGCCCCCAGGGTCTGAGGGTTGGCCTGTCCAATGAACACCCAGGCCAAGGTTGGACTTCAAAGTGTGGGCCTCTGCTGGGGTCCCCTACCCACTTGGGCTTCCCCAGCTTGTCCCAGCTCTCACTCGGGCCTTGTGCCCTCAGCAGCTCACACCCTTGCCAGGGAATAAGGGAATCAGACCACGGTTATGTGGCTGGTGTACCATCTGCCCCCAGCACAACGCTGCTCACGAGCTCCCACCCACAACTCCCAGGAGCATCGCTGCTCGTCTCTGCCATGGTCAGGGAGGCGAGGTACCCCATTGCGTGGTGAGGGGCAGGGGGATATTCAGTTGTAGGCAGTCATGTTCTACTTCCTCAGACTGAGCATGACCCTCCCTTGTGTCTTCCTCCACATACACTCCCAGGTAACCAGGGTCACTTGTACCTAAGTCCAGCCACCCCTCTCTGCTCCTCTGATACCTTTGAAGTTTGGCAGGCTGTGTATGTGGTGGAATGAAATGAGGATCCAACTTTTCTCATCCCTTTGCTTTGTAAGAACAGAGACTCCTCCCTTTTCGTTGCTGTTTCTCCCTTTGTCTCTACCCCATGTGGCAGTCCCATCCCAGCCCATGATGTGGAGGGGCAGCTGTGGGTCCAAAGCCAGTTTTCCAGGAAGAGGCAGCAGGGATGGGTGAATATAATCAGTGGTGGGGCCAGGTTTAATGGTGCCTGGGGGTGTCAGTCAGGGTCGTGTGTCCTTCCCTGGGACCACTTCCCCTCAGGTGGTAACAAACCCCAAGGCCAGTGGCTTCCTCTTCATCCTTGGTTTTGCTCTCTGGAAGTTGGGGATTTGGCACCCACCTCCCAGGAACACCAAGCCCCTGGAGAATGTGAGGTCACATTCAGATTTTCTTATGTCTGGTCCAGGCATTTCTCTGGGGATTACTCCTCATTCCCTGCCCCCACCTCAGGACTGCAGAACAAGCTCTCTTAGAGCTCACTATCCCCAACAGCCAGAACCTCCATGCCTTTATCGGGGAGGCTGATGGGAATGTTCCTCCAATCTCAGAGTTGCCAACCTGCTCTCCTGGGGCCCAGTAGGTTTCTGGTGGACTCTTCCACAAGTTTATCTCCATACCAGGAGAGCTGCCCAAAGATGGGGGACTTGGGGATGGGGAGGAGGGCAGCAGCCTGTGCTGGCTGCAAAGTCAAAAGGTCCAAGGTGTCACTGGAAACTGGGCAGCCTATCTCCTCCCCTCTTCCTCTCCCCAAAACCTACCTGCATGGGGCCTCATCTGGCACTGCATGGACCATAGGTTCCCATCTTCCGCCCTTCCCAAAACTGTTCTCATGCTCAATGTGTGACTCCTCTTCCCCCACCCCCCATGCTGAAAGGGTCACAACAGTTCCATCTCTGGGACTCTCAAGACCTGTCAGTCTCCAGCTGTTCACATATGCATGTCACTGTCCTTGATTGCAGGATTCTGCTGCCAGCTTACCCTTTTCCCAGTGTGACACCCCCATGCCTCCTCACACCCTCTCCACCTGCTTGCAGAGATCAGTGTACTTCTCGATCATTGTCCATATCTTTTCCAAAAAGATTCCTCAATGCTTTTCTTTTCAAAAGGGAAAAAAAAAGGAAAAAAAAAACAATGCCAACAGCCCAGCGTCCGTGAGCAACCCAACAGTAACAAAGCATGCGTTCGGGATGGAGGAAGGTAAGGCCACATGTTTCCATTTGCCGCTTGCTCCTAGGGCTGGGCAGCTGGGATGACTCCAAGGGGGGATCCTGCGTGCACCCCTCCTTCATGCCCCGTTCTCACATGCTCACTCTTCTGTCTTTAGTGGAAAGAAGAGACAAGGGGTTTGACAGAGGCACAAAGGAAAGTACCTAGGAGACTATCCCAGGACCTTTTCCTATTGCTTTATGCTGGAAAATGGCTTCCCAGCTTCTCTTCCATGCCATTCATTCATTCATTCATTCATTCATTCCACAAGTGATTTTTAAGCACGAGCTATTTTCTAGGCTGTAGTTTTGCTGCTGGAGAATACAGAGTTAAGGCACAGACACCCCTATCCCAGGGCTCTGCACCTGGAAGGAAATACACACTTGGGAGCACTGGAGGGCCTGCCTAGGAGTCAGCATGGAGGCTGGTGGGGCACGGTGGGTTCTGCATGGGAACAGGAAGTACTCAACAGAGGAGCAGACACCCATGCAATGCTTGGGAAAATGAGCAAACACTCTGGGGCCCAGGGAGCCTGGCAGGCTTTTCAGTCACAGGAAGACGCAGGAGCCCAGGTCCAAGGGCCTAGAGCTGTCTACTCAGGTTCCTTACTTGGGTTCCTCAGAACAGTGTGGAATACTGGGAGGCAGAGCATACAAGGCTGTTTGGTAGAGCTGGGGAGGTTAGACCTTATCCTGGGGACCATGAGGGTTCACTGATGGTCTTTAAGCAGATGAAAAGCAAGAGAGATTTGTGCACAGACCACTGTGCCTTGCTGTGGGGGTAGGTGCGAGGGTGAGGTCTGGAGGTCAGGAGCGCAGGTGGGCAACACCAGGGCAGTAGCAGTGATGAGGTGTACAGGAAACAAGTCAGCAGAGCCCTGGTTACCCCAGGATGTGGGGGTGAGGGAGAGGCATGCCCATCTCCCTCTTACCCAGGCCTAAGCAAGGAGAAAATTTTGAGCTAGGAAGCTCAGGCTGTACCTGGCCCCCAGAGCAGCAAATTCATTTTATAGTCACATGATGAATGTGGGGTGCGTCCGCTCAGATGTGTGGTGGGGTCACTGAGGCTGCTGAGGGTGTTGCTGGGGACTGACACCAAGGGTGGTGCAGTCCCACGCTTGGTCCTGGGCTACAATTTCCTCACCTTCCTTAGTGTGGATGTGTCGCATTTTGCATCAAGACTGTTGGGACTGTCCCTCTGCTCGGAAACAGGGCCACCCTTCCCCATACTAGTGGCCTTTTCTGCTCCTTTCTTCCTCAGCCTGGTGTCCAGATCTCAAGGAAGCCTGTGCTTTTCTTGCTCCTGCCATACTCTTCTCTTGCCCTCCTGGCCCTGCTGTCAGCGCCCCCTAGTGCCAGGACAGCCGCGCAGGAGGGCATGGGCCTCTGAAACCAAGTGGTAACCTCAGAGGTCTCCCCCAAACTCTTGGCTTGCTTGTGGCTAAAGAAGGGAATGGAGGGTCTCTCTTGGAGTCTGAAGCTTCCTATAGAATGTCCAGGGTCTACTCTTTGCTTTTCCATCCTCTCCCTCTTGTGGTGTGATAGCCTGTACCCAGGTTAGGGTGGTACTGAAGAATGAGTAACCTCTTGCCTTGTTTTTTATTTATACCCAGATATCTCTTGACTTTCCCAGGATCAAAGCCCTAAGGGCAACTGGTGTCTCTTGGAGATCAGGGACTCAGCCTACGTCCACAGTCCCACTCCTTCCACTGCCTGCAAACTGCTGAGAGATAGCCAGTGTCCCTATATGCTCATGTCCCAGACTAGGCCCAGGTCCACCAAGGCTGTGCAGTGCAAGTGCCCCTAACATCTGACCCAGGTGCCTTCCTTGTTCCTACCCCACTCTGTGGCTGCGGCTGCTAGGCAGCCTCGGTGCTTGTCAGGGATAGGTGGCCTCCAGAGCAGGAGGGTCAGTGGTTATAAAGTTCCTGGCAAACTGGTGATGACCAGCCCAGGAGTGAAGACCACAACACACTCATTCCCTCACCAAAGCTGTACTTTGTATGGTGGAGTGGGGGCCATACACCTGGAGCGGGTGCAGGCTAGAGATCAAGGTCTCAAGCCAGACCAGGCAAGTGTAATGTTGGGCACACCATGTTGTTTCTGGTGCCTGCTTTGAGGTGGATAGGCAAGACCCCATAGTCACAGGCTGGTGTGCCTTGGAGAAGCCTAGGCTGCAGGCCGTATCTCAGGCTGGGGAAGACTCTAGAGACTGTCCAGGCATGTGTGCCCACACGAAAGAACTAACAAGGAACAGAACCCGGTCATCTGCAGAAAGCCAAGAAGTGCTTCCTTTCTCCTTGGATTCAACAAGCAGGGATCCTGCTCCCAACTCCTTACCCCATTGCTGCCTTGGGTGGGTCAGTTAAGGTGCTAATAGTTGAATGAAACGGTTCAGACTGCCGAATTCAAGATGGCAGTATGGATGTGCAGAGGCCAGGGAAGGAGAGGAGCTAGGTGCTTCCTGCATGCTTTACAAGTTGGCTAAACATGTCCGTTTTAAGAGGCCTTTAGGAGATTTGAAGGCTGAGAGGAAGGGAGAAGGGAAGCACTCAGGCAAGGAGAGACCCTCTCTCCCTGGGAATAGGGCCCCCCTCTAGCCAAGCATTCCCTCCTACAGAAAAACAGGACACTTTCCAGAAGGTATCAAGGATGAACCAAGGCCTGACCAGCAGACAAATTGTGTGAGTGAGAACGAGTGAACAAATAATGGCTAAGCTGGGGCACAAGCTCCAGGGACAGGTGGGACCGGAAAGGAGAAATAGAAACAGATCAGGCTGGGAAGCTGCAGTCCTGGCTTCTCGTCACCTGTAGATCCAGGATTGCAGACGCTGTGGAGCTGGAGGAGCATGCTGGCTGAGCATGAGTATGTGGGCAGGCACTGGCCCATGCCCCATGAATAACAGTGTTGTCGACCATCAGTGTGGCAGAACTTATAGCCTAACAGGCTTCCCCACAATGAGGGAAAGAAAAGACTAAGGTCTAAAATGAGTCTGCCAGCCAAGGGGGCTTCTCCATTCCCTGGCTGAGCCTCTCTGTGACCTGAGCTGCCACCTGGCCCTTCTGGGGAGCAGGTAGGAGCTCCCCTGCAGAAGGATGTGAGTGGACCCAGAATGGTGCCTCAAGGTGAGCAGCCTGGCCCAGGGTCTGCCTGCTCCCCCTGCTCCCTCCTCTGACCAGGCCTGGCCCTCTGCTCTGTCTTGCAGAACTTCAGCGAGAGGGAAGCATCGAGACTCTGAGTAACAGCTCAGGTTCCACCAGCGGCAGCATCCCCAGAAATTTTGATGGCTACCGATCTCCGCTCCCCACCAATGAGAGCCAGCCCCTCAGCCTCTTTCCCACCGGCTTCCCGTAGGTACCAGCAACCTGCTTCCAACTGGCCGGCCCACTCACCCACTGGAGGGAGGGGGAGAAGCCCCCCTCTGGTCCTGCCCTTCAGTCTGCTCCTCTTTCATCAACCACGTTCCCCAAGCTTAGTGACAACAGTCCCCCATCCTACCTGGATTGAGAAGAGACCCTTCTCTAAAGCACCTCAGCGCATCCTGACCTCTACTGTTCCCGTCAGTGGGGGCTGTGGCCAAGAAAGACTGCGGAAGCTCAGTCCCCTTCTCCATTTGCACATGATGTCCTGCATTGGATCCGCTTTTGTATTTTCTAACCATACCCACAGGGGCCTGGAACAGTGGCCAGATCTTGGGGCCTGAGTGGGGAGAGGGTGGATGGTCCAGCTGGGTATTTTGGCCCTGAGTGGATAGTCTCAGCCCCAGCCCACTTCAGGCTGTGATACACACTGCCCCCAGCGTCCCTTGCTCAGCTCCCCTCCAGTATGGGGTGAACTGAGGCCCAGAGTAATAGGGGAGGATGCTTTCCCCATCAACTCATGGGAAGAATTTATCTTTCTTATCTTTAAGCCCTTTTACCCTGGTCCTGTGCTGTTCAGTGAAGGAAACTGTGGTTACTGAGGCCCTGTTGAAAAGTGCACGTCTTGTCCAATAAATCACGCTGCAATTGGTGTCCATTCCTGAGTTATTAGGGTCAGGGTCCTCGCCAAATGCTCAACAGAGTACTGTGAGCTTGACCATGTGCCCCGGCTCACAGTGTACCCCACCCACATGAGCTACAGTGGGAGAAGCCAGTGAGGGGCAGGCAGGGGGAGGAGGATCTGCTCTGAAGTTGGGGTGGGGCCTAATTTTAGTCCATTCTTCAAACTCTTTGCCTCTTACCAGAGCAAGTGAGTTCTGGGGGCACCAGGCATGGACCCTCCCTGTTGGAGGCCATCAAGGCCTGACCTATATGTTGGTTACTGAGAAGAGAGCTTGGTCAAGACCCTGGCCTTGCCTTCAGGACACCTTCAAATTACCTCTTTTCAAGGTCAGAAGATGGGAGGGCAGCTAGGTGAGGGTGGGTATCCCATGAAACCTGGCTGGGACCTCAGATGGCAAGTCCAGATTGTGTTCCCTCCCTCTTCCCTAAGTGAATTGTGACAAGGAGAAGAGGTGAGTGAATGAGAAGGTGTTGAGCAGGGCGATTGAGGCCAGTTATAATCCCTCTTCCCTGGCCCACACTTCTGAGAGATCCCATCGAGGCCTTGGAGGATTGAAGAAAACCCACTGAGCCAGGTGTGGTTTGAGGTGAAGTTTAATGGAACAGTTGTAGAAGGGTTGTGTTCACAGACAAGCAGAACTTCCCATCTTCCTCCAGGGCCCCTGCCCCCTTCACACACCCCATCCCATTCCTGGTGCCTGAGAGACTTAATCTGCAGTCCCCTCCATGAGGTCATTTGGGCATGTGGGGAGAAGAGACCCACATCACACTAGACTCTGTAGGCTAAGGAGATGGTCCCTCCTGCCTGGGCTCCTGTGGAGTGAGAAACCCTGAGCCAGAGTGAGGTGTTCTGGAAATACAAGCAGGCCTGGGCACAGCCAGTGGCAGGTGCTGCAGGAATGGGTTGCACTGGAGACACTGACATGCCAGGCATGGCCCCAGCCCCCAGCTAAGGTAGCATTTCAGTCAAAAGGGAAGAGGATGTCACCAGGCTCCCTGTGTATACTGCCTGTGGCCTGGCTCTCTGGGGCTGTGAACAGAAGTTGTAGGAAGCATGAGCCCCTTTGTACCCACCCCGGGGCATGTGGATAGAGTGAAGACCTTGCTCCCGGTAGCTCTCAGCCATGCAGGGAACCAGCAGAGCACCTTGGAGTCAGGAGTCCTCCCTGGCCCAGCCCTTCCCCTCCAGTAGGGGCAAAACAGCTGTGGCCTCCTCCAGTCAGGGAAAGTGGTGGGTGTAGGGCTGGACTTGCTGGCTGAGCTTGCAGGACAATCTGGTTATTCATCTGCTCACAGTCAGGGCAACTCTTGGAGTATGTGGGGGAAGGGGAAGGATCAGAAAGCCCAGATAAGCTGGCCCCAGGACGGCTGCCACTGGAGCTCAGGTTATCAGAAAGGCCCTGGGCCTGGCCCCTGGCTAATTGGGGAGGTTATAGACCCTGCCATAGCCAGTAATCAGCTGGAAGTGTGATCTGGGCCCCAGGGCAGGGGACCTTACAGCCCCCTGGAGCAGCCAGCCTCCTACCTCTAAAGATAACTCCAGGGCAATCTCCACCCCCTCCCCAATAGTCCCAACAGACCTTATGATAGCATCACCTACAAGGTCATCAGAACTTGAATCTAATTATGGCTGGACCAGGTGACCTTGAGGAAGCCATGGGATCTCTCTGATTCTCACAGCACTACCTATTCAATGGGCAAAATACTATGGACTCAATCTGATGGAGGGAAAATATCTTCAGGATCCTGGAGTGGCAACTCAAAAGGAACAGCACTGTTTGGGGTTGACTTGAGAAAAAAAAAAATCCAGCGGTCCCAAGGCAAATTCATGCCCACAGACACAAATATTAGGACCAGCTTCTCAGGAGGCATGCAGAAGTCAAGTCAGGTAGCTACCATTCTGCAGCTGGGGTTGGTTTCTCAATGCTCATCTTTTATTTTCACAGGTCGGAGAATCTCTAAACTACAAAACTCTTTGGTCCCTGTTTTGCAGATGACAAGCCTGAGAAAGGCAGGGCTTTGCCTAAAGTCAGAGCCATACAGCTAGCCAGTTAAACCCTGTCTATACCTTGCTGCTTCCCATGCCCCAGCCAGTTCCCTTACAAGGGCCCAAATCTGACCTGAGGTCCCTGTCCTGTGCCCCCACATAATCTTGGACTCATCCTACTAACCCCAATGCCTTCCTTACCCCTTCAAGCTTCCAGGTCAGGGCCCCTGTGTAACTGGGAAGGCAGTGCTCTCCTGCAGACCTAGACCTGGAAGCTCTAAGGACAAAAGGAGAGAGCATCCTCGTATTCAAAACAAGACCTCAGGAGGGTGGAGATCCTGGAGTGTCAGTGTGACCTTGCTCTATGAGCATAAAAGGGCAGCTTGGCAGCAATGTCATCACCACCTTCTAATAAGGAGTGACTTTGGGCTTGCTCCTTTACTGTCCCAGGATTCCATTACAGCTCTGCCACCAGTAGTCATATGGCCTTGGGTGAATTACTGCACCTCCGGGCTTCAGGGTCCTCATCTGTGAAGGAAAGGGTGAGGGAAGAAGGGATCAGGAGCAATAGAACTGAAGCAGGCAAAGGGAAAGCTGCTGGTCAGAAAGGCAAAAGGGTGTTTGCAGGCAGGAGGCTGACAAGCCAGGCCAGGCTTGGTAGCTCATTGGCGGGCGAGGGGTAGGGTGGGCAGAGATGGCGCAGCCCAGCCGGAGCCCAGATTGTGCTGCCCACAAAGCTGCTCCAGAGAATCCCTGCCCCACTGCCTGCGAATCAAGAGCCTGGTGAGCACTAGCTGACTAGCCCCGCCCCTCTGTCGCAGGTGGGCTCATCCTAGCGGCCCAGTGGGTCCTTCCGAGCTTCACCCACTCTATCAAGCCACTCAGAAGAATGCGGGTTCACGTCCCCGCGATCCCAGACACCCTCACCCTTGCTAGTCCACGCATACGCAGGTTCAAGACGCGCACCTCACTATTTCGACCTTTATGTCCTAAGCGCACAGCTGCGACCCGCGAAACCGCGGCCCAGAGCAGTAAGTAGTCCGCAGTTCCTAGGATAACAAGATCCCCAAACTCTAAGGAAGTCGCTTGAAGTCCGGAGGAGGCACGGCCTGGATTCCAAGCCGCACTCTCTGTCTCAGGTGCAGAGCGACGCCCCTCGAGGGCCAGCCAGATCCATTCCGCCCCATAACAGCCAGGCTGGGCCTCGCCTTCCCATGAGCCTGAAAGACAAGGGACCTGGGCCACGCAGACCATGGCTACGGAGGCACTTCCCAGAGCCTAACGAGAGGAAGTGGTTCCGCAGCCAGTCCTAGCACAAGACCGCAGCCACACCGCGACCAGAAGGGGGTCTAGCCGCCTGCTCTTCCCGCGTCCCCCGCCCCATCCCAGTCAGTTGGCCCGACTCTGCGCGGGGTAATTGGGGCGGGAGGGAGGCGACGGGCGGGCGGCGGCTCCAGAGAGACTGCGCGCCTGTCAGCTGCAATTTGTTTAAGTGGACGGGACAGGCAGGGCCGCTGCGGGATGGGGTCACCGAGGCCGCGGCCCACACCCGGCCAGACCCGGGACCGCGGGGGAGCCCAGCTGGGCCGCTAAACCGGGCTGGCTGGCGCCAAGTCTCCTAGAGGCGCGGGTCTGGCACAGAAGCGGTGGATGGGAAGCAACTCACGGGAGTGTCTTCATTCACCCCCTACATGCGCGCGAGCGTTGCTCTCCCCACCTCCTCTCTCTCTCTCTCTCACACACACACACACACACACGCACACACACACACGCGCGCACACACGCACACAGAGGACGTCAAGACGCACCGAGCAGCACCGCCAAAGCTTGTCATACTCATTGGACCACACAGGCCACCCGAGCTTAGCCGAGGGACATTCATATACCCCAGAGCGCCTAAGTGCTTGGTTATCCCAGGATCACTCCAGTGCCGGGTTTCTCGCACGCACGCATATCTGTCCCCTCTGCCACACGACCACACATCCTTCAGCGTCCCCGTCATCCACTCCACGCGGGCTCATGCAAATTTACGCCCAATCACACGGACGGAGGGGCGCCCCGAAGGAACCCCTGCGATTTTGAGGATCAACCCGAGGGAGGTCCCAGCAGTGTTCCCGGACCTGCGAGAAATTACAGGGCCAAAAGACCGACGGACAGCCTGGCCAGACTCAGGACAGCAGCCCCATTCGGCCCAGGCTGCCCCTGCCCCCCGCGATTTCGTTGTTGCGGGAAAAGCGGAGAGTACTGACCGCGCGCAACAGGCCCGAGGCCGCGAGGCCCGCGCCCGCCGACGCCGGGGCCCAAGACCGCCTGGAAGAGGGGGAGGGGCGGCTGAGCGCGCGTCCCCCGCCCGTCTGCGGGGCCGGACCGATGCGAAGTGACAGGGGCCGGAGCTTTGTTGTGGAGCCTCGGCCGCCTGGCGCCAGCCGCCCCCGCCCGTGTCCTCCCCCTCCAGCCCCAGGCGGCCCGCGAGGCGCCCCCCGGGGCCTCTTAAAGAGACACGCACACTCGGCCCCGGGGACTCCCCCAGGGGCGCCGGTTCCTGGGAAGGGTAAGGGGGGGGGGACACAGGAGGGGGAGGGGAGGAGCGGGAGCTGAGAGCCTAACGGCGCCGCTCCAGGGACTGACTGGGCCGCCCCAGCGCCAGTGTTCGATGATCCAGGGATATTCCTAGCTGGAGTGTTTGGCTTGGGGGGCGGGATTGCGGGGGCGGGGGGGGCAGATCAGTATAGAATCTTGAGAGCGGCAGTATCAGGACCTCCGGGTAATTGCCTGAGAGTGGGCGGGGCAAATGGTGGGATCCTTGACTGGCGAAAGAGCCTATGACCGCTGCAGGGCAGATCCGTGGCTCCGTAGGTAAGATAGCGGTACCCAAATGCAGCCTCTGCACTGTCGCCACCGGATTTCCTGGGCAAATAATCCAAACCTGCGTATTTCAGACTCCCAGGTCCTCGGACCCCTGGACCAGTTACGAACTCAACT